CCTGGGAAGGTGTGGTAAGCTTCCACAAAGAAGATAGTAATTTTTATTTCACCTTGAAAAATTCAGAATTTTTCTATGCAAAGTAGGAATTAAATAAGGAAGAGAAAAATCTAGAAAAAAAAGAGCAACATGAAAAGGACTCCATGTTTTGAACAAAGAAGAGTGTTTGTGAAAAGGTTTGCATTCCTGTACTTCTTTATGTCTCTACCGCTTAAGTCTTTATAGACATGGCTGTGGCACAGGGTAAGAAAAGGGAGTGGTAGGGGATGAAGAAGTAGGTGACCAAATTATATAGGACTGTGCATATTATGCTAAGTTGTTTGGTTTGTATCTACTACCTAAAAATCATTATTTTTTTACTATAAGTTAGTAGTATAAATTGCAGATTAGAAGTGCATTGGACATATGAACAAAACTGGAGCCAGAAGACTCATCAGTTTAACCTCTTATCTGACCTCAGAGATTTCCCAGATACCTTTTATGCTGCCTGGAACATTCTCATTCCCCCCATGCCTGTGTCTCATTTCAAATAAAGTATAAACCTAATTTCTCAGAAAATCCTGTCTTATTAATTCTCCTTTCCAGATTATTCAAGGTACTGTGTTTGCTTCCTGCATGTATACAATAGACTGTCATTCAACTAGATGGTAAGCCCCAAGGGGGCCAACATATACTCAGTGCCTAGTGTTGTTGGTGGAACAGCAGATGCTCAATAATTATTTTGAATAATTATCTTGAAGATTTAATGATAAATTATTTTGAACAGGAGATGAAGCAATGGGTTGTTTAATTTAAGATGTAATTTGGAGATGTCTTCCTCTAGGGAGCTTTTGATCCTTCAGAGAAAAGAATACATAAAAGTAACTGTAAACATTGTGAGAAGGTTTTCAGCTATGTTGGGTAGATGAACTGAAGGTATGAGAGATGCAATACTACTGACCGGCTAAATTAAGTATTCTCTCTTAGTAAAGAAAAGTTCCCTAATTTCTCACCCTAGGGTGTCTTCTGGGCCTTTTTGCTGGAAGTGATGACCTTCACACCTCAGTGATATAAGTACTTTGACTCCATAAAGGGTTCTTGTTGAAAAAACGAAATGAAAAAGGGCTTTAGGGGATACAATACTAAGATTTGTTTATGTGTGTCTGCTGGAATGCACCTTCTTACAAGGTGAAGTTGTAAGGACATGTGTGTCTTTCTCTTCACCTATGCCACTATCCCTCCTACTGCTGAAGATGGAATTCATGAATTTTACAAGTACAAAGACAGCCAAGAAATTTTTACGTTTTCCTTCAAAAGCTAAGTGCAGTGTAGCCCCCCTGTAGTCTAAGTTAGAGAAGAATACTAACTTCCTGTTTTTCCTTCTGTGCTCAGCGAGCCTTATCTGTACTCACCAGTTTCACTTTCCTTGAGGCTCAGCGAGTTCCTCCTTCACCTCCTCAGCGCAGCTGCAAAGTTACAAGGTTGATACAGAAACATGGTTTCCCAAGGATGTAGAACATGTACTATAGACAAATGTAAAAAGCTGATCGACTGGCTTTGTTCTCGCTTCTGTAAGTAAGCTTCCTGCATCACGTAGCTCGTGGCCACTGACTGCTTAGAAGGTGGCTGCTTTCTTTGTCCAGGGCTCAGACTTTCCTGGACACTAGTCCTACTGAGCCAGGTGATCACCTTTTAATAAATACCTTTCCTGAACTCACTCTGTTTGGTCTCTCCTATCTCTGATTGTCCCACAACACTATGTGTGAGGTCGATTTCACAAGATCTCAGTATGTAGTGTCTGCATTGGGTAAGTAGGATTTTATGTTACAGTGTTTAAGAACACAAGCTTAAGAGTCAGGAAACCAAAACTTACTCAAACTCTGTCACAACTGTCTCATTCATATCAGCAATCTGACTTGGAGCATTTTATTCTTCATGCATTAACAAATAGTTCTTTTATTTTTTCTTGAGTGACTCCGGTGAGCCAGACACTCTGTTACATGATGGACAGGAAAACAATGCTACCAAAACCAGACTTGATCCTTGTGGAAGGAATACACATTGAGTAAATGTTTACAAAGAAATATAAATTTGCAATAGCATTAAGCACTATCCATTTAGGCTTCTCTTCCCCCAGGGCACTGTACACTCCATGAGAGAAGTGTTTAAACCACCTTTGTTCTCCATTGCATTCTGAGTGCTGGGTTCACACTTATTTTAATAGCACTAAGAAGGTATTTGGTGACTGCATTAGTTTCCTATTGCTGCAGAGAAAAAAAAAAAGAAGCAGCTTAAAACAATACCCATTTATTAGTTCATATTCGGAAGGTCAGAAGTATGGGTGAGCTTCTTAGCCTTATGAGAAGTATGGCTGGGTTCTCATAAGGCTAAAATAAAAGTTTCAGCAAACTGGGTTCTAATTTGGGAGCCTTGGGGAAGAAACTGCTTCCACCTTCATTTTGGTTATTAACAGAATCTAGTTCCTTGAAGCCGTGCCACTGGGATCACTTTTCCATTGCTCTCCGTTGGCGTCCCTCAGCTCCCTAGGCTGCCCACATTCCTTCTCACGTGCTCCTCCATCATCAAGCCAGCAACAGTACATCACATCCTTGCCATGCTTTGAATATCTCTGACTTCTTCTGTCACCAGCTAGAGAAATGTCTTGTTATTAAGGTCTCACGTGATTAGACCAGGCCCACTGGGCTATAATATCCCTATATAAAGATCCAGCTGTGCAATACAGCATATAACACAATCCCAGGAGTGACATCTCATAATATTCAAAGGTTCTGGAAACCAGAGCAGGATATTTCTGTAGCGCCATTTTAGAATTCTGCCTATGAAAATGACTAAATAAGTGAATTAAGAATAGATGGTTCTGGCCTGACGTGGTGGCTCACACCTGTAATCCCAGCACTTTGGGAAACCAAGTCAGATGGATCATGTGAGGTCAGGAGTTCAAGACTAGCCTGGCAAACATGGTGAAACCCTGTCTCTACTAAAAATAGTAAAAATTAGCTGGGCGTGGTCGTGGGCGCCTGTAATCCCAGCTACTGGGGAGCCTGAGGCAGGAGAATTGCTTGAATCCAGGAGGCGGAGGTTACAGTGAGCCGAGATCACACCATTGCACTCCAGATTGGGCGACAGAACAAGACTCCATCTCAAACAAACAAACAAACGAAAAAGAATAGATGGTTCTATAAACGTATACAATAACGGTATCTGACCTGCCCTAAGGTGTAAGGAATGATTTTTCTCAAGAAACAGTAATTAAGGGGAGGTCCGAATGTTAAAAAATAATAATAATAACTGGGAAAGAATGTTTAGGAGAAGGAGTATTAGGCATAAAAAACCATGTCTCCAAAGAGCTTGTAGAAGGAGGTAGTATGGTGAAATCAAGGAATGAAATAAAAGACAGTAGGACTAGAAGTCAGTAAGCAAGGAGCCTGTGGTTGAAGAGAAGACTAAAAATAGAAATGGGTTCAACCAAAAAGATGGGAAATATTAACAGTATTTTAGACAGAGGAAAGAGTGGTTTTGACATGAGCACATTTGCCTTTGGAAAGATGGTTTTACACTGTGTTGCAGAGAATAGATTGAATTACAGCTATAATGCATGCAAATTTACCACTTACAAGGCTATCGAAATAGTCCAGATGAATTTATTGTGGCTTGAACTAGGGAAGTAGTGGTACAAATAAAGAAAAATATGGGATCAAAGTTATAAAAGCAGTAGAAATTATGTAACTTTATTTGGAATTAAATATGAAGGTTAAGAGAAGAAAAAGAAAAGGCCAAGATTCACTCCTAGGTTTGAGGTTTGCACATCAGAATAAGTGGTGGTGAGATTAACTGATATATGAAACATGAATGATGAATATAATTGCATAAAAATCATGAGTTTGATTTTTGGGCACTGTGAGCTGGAAGCATCCAAATGTCTGGGTTACACAGGCCATTGGACCTATGTGCCTAGAGCTCTAGACTAGCCCAATAGTCTAGTCTAAAGATACAAATTAAGTCACTGATATACAAATGGCAAAGTAAGTGGGGGGTGTGTGTGTATGTGTGTGTGTGTGTGTGTGTGTGTATGTGTGATTGCATAGGAATTAGAGGCCACTAACTCAAATTTTATAGACCAGCAGCAAATACAAGTATTAATTGTGTAGGAATTAGAGGCCTGATTTGAGGCCTTTTTGCACCATATTCTCTCACCAGGCAGAGTAGAATGTATGTGCAAAGGAAACTGAGAAGTAAGCAGAGATATAAGAAGAAAACCATAAGTGTGATGCCACAAAGGGCAAAGGAAGAAAATGTATCAAGAAAGAGAGTGGTCAACTGTATTAAATGTTGTTTGGAAATGAGGGAAGATAAAAACTAAAACCTCAGACACAGAGAGGTTCCTGATGATGTATAGTAAAAGTTATTTGGTAGTTTCACCAAGGCCAAAACTAAACTGGAATAATGGAAGAGTTATATGAGAGATGTGTAAGTGAAAGTAAGTTATAGATAACTTCTCTAAGAAATTTGACTATTAATGGAAAGAGACAGAAGGAATATGAGTTTAGACAGATTTATACTGGTTGTTATCACTGTTGCTTTTAATATGGAAAGGGACTTGAACATGATAAACGCTTGGAATGATTCATTTGAGAGAGCGAGGTTCAATATCCATGAGGGAGAAGAGACAATAATGTAAGTTTCCTAAGAAGTTGGGATGGAAGTGATCCAAAACAAATTAATAGAAACCTATATGAGACACAGCTTGATGTCATAATGATTAATAAGGCCTTTGTGATACTTAAGCTAGTGTGAGGAAATACTTCCTTCTTTGATAAATTTATACCTCTTATGTAGGTATAAATATACCTCTTATGTAGGCATAATGGAAGAAGAGCAGTCTTTCCTGAGCCCTTCAGTTTTCAGTTATTATTTCCTTTAGTTTTTAATCTATTTATTCAACAACTATTAAATTCATGTTTTATTTACAAGGCTAGAATGCTTTAAGAACAACAAAATCATTTTCAGAGACTTGACACACTAATACTTTATTTTTCACTTATCCGACTGCCTGGAACAAATACAAGTGGGAGTTGCAAATGACAGGTTTGGCTCTGCACAGTTTTTTCAGGAATCCAGGCTTCTGGTGATTTACTCTGTGTAACACATAGCTTCCCAAGTCACATTTAATGTCAACATGAAAGGCTGCACATGGGAGGGTTTTATGATCCAGGTATAGAAGTGGCACATGTCACTTCCACTCACATTGGAAGTAATGGCTAGAATTTAATAATACCCAACTCAAAGAAGTCTGGAAAATTGCCTGGCTATGTGTTCAGGATGGAAGGAATCAGGTTTAGTGAAAAGTAACCAGTACTGAATATAAGCACTATTATGTTCTAGGCACTCTGCTTGGGGATTCAATGATGACCAAAGAGCAGTCAATGATGAACAGAGATGATATTCAATAATAAACAGTGCCCTCATGGGCTTACAGTCCATCAGCAAATACAAGTATTAAATAGGCATTTCCAAACATGATATCCGTTACAAAAGGGGATGAAAGCGTGTTATACGAATCCATATCAGGGAACCTGAGGCTTGAAAAAGAAAATGACTCTTACCACATATATGATCACATGTTTTAGTATTGGTTATTTGAGTTTCTTGGTTAAGAATCATATTGTTGTCATATCCTGTTGAAGATGAAACCTATTAACCCTTGGTAATAGCCCCTCAGAAGCAAAAATGCCCGATTCCCATGCCTAAATCAGATTGTTTTCCTGGTCTCAAAGTCCCTGTTCCGTACTACACAAAGCCCCAAATAAAGCATAGTCCTGAAGATTCCCTCACTTTCCAGCTACCAGTCACACTCAAAAGGCCAGTGTTATCTTCAACACCTGCCATTCCATACTTCCCATTGTAACTGCTGGCTCCCTAATCTCACTGCCTATCAGAATCACCTATGGAACTTTTAAAAATAAATAGCTTGCTATAAGCCCTATGCCAGACTTTCTGAATAAGAATCTTCCATAATGGTGAACCTAGAAATTACTTCTCCTTCCAAGACACAGGTAAAGTGGCAACTGGACCAGGACAATAAGCAATAGCTAGTGGGATTAAAGCCATGAGCTCTGTTACCAGGAAATTCCTAAATATAACACTGGATGAGTGAGAAGAAATTAAATACCTCCTCTAGAAAATGTAAGACTCTGTAAGACATCTCTAACCCGCTATCCTATTGGTCTCTCTAACAGTTCTTCCACATAATATGAGATTGGGCATGAAGTCTTTTTTTTTTTAAATTTTTATACCTGTATGACCCAATTTAATTCACTGATCCCCACTGAACATCAATTTTCCCATGGCTACAACGAGGGTACTAATATAGCTTTGCCTAATTAAAAGGTTGATAAGAAAATTAAATAGGAAAAACAGTGCCCATATGCTGTGAAAACTCTCAGAACAGAGTGTGTCAACTTTCATTAATGTCGGTAAATGTACTCTTTTCAAGGCTTTACTTCCAATCTTCCCCTTAAGTGTTAGTGTCCAGAGGAAAAATTATTTCTTCTCTATAGAAGTCATTTTGAAGACAGTCTTTTTCTGAGATCCAGTGCGGTTGGGAGTTCTGAAGAGGAAGTTATAGTTTCAAGCTAGATTATCTCATTTTATTGTATTCTTGTGTTTATTTTCCTTTTGCCATGCTTAGACCTTTGGCAAATGTTCTCTAGATGTACATTCTTACCTCAGAATGCTGTAAACCATCAGTAGAAGCAGTTTAGATTTGGACTGCATGGTAAAATGGAAAGGAATAACCCTCCAACCACAACCAAGTCAGGGTATTAATAATTATATACAGCAAGAAAACAAAGAAGAAAATAATATTGAAAAAATGGGATTCCCCAACCAGTTTCATATTTGAAGGATCTGAGTTATATTTTTATTAAGGAAATTTTTTTTTTCTGAATACTGTCTTCCAAAATGTTGACATTAAAATCTGAATCAGAGGACTTCGAATGGAAAAGAAGTTTGATCACTGACACCTAGGGCTCTGAAGCATGTGTGGCCATATGAAAAAGTCGAAGGATGCGCTGCCGAATCTCCTTTGTCTTCACTCCGTAGACAATTGGGTTGAGCACAGGAGGAACCAGCAGATAGATATTGGCCAAGATGACCGGCAGGAGAGAGTCACGCCGCTTGCTAAAGCGATGCACCATAGACAATCCAATGAAAGGTACATAGAATATGAACACAGCACACACGTGAGAGACACAAGTGCCAAACGCCTTGGCCTGGGCTTCACGTGTCAAGCCCAACACAGTCTTAAGAATAAGCAGATATGAGAAGGAGATGAGAAGTGAGTCCAGGCCAATGGCAGAGATGATGACAATAAGGCCATAGATGACATTGACCCGGATATCATCACATGCCAGCTTCATGACATCTTGGTGTAGGCAGTAGGAATGGGAAAGGATATTGGAGCGGCAGAAGGGCAGCTGCTTGATGAAGACAGGAAGGGGTGCCATCAGTGCAGCCCCCCGCACCACAGCAGCCACACCAATTTTGGTGACACGAGGCAATGTAAGTACTGTGGCATGGCGCAGTGGGTGACAGATGGCCACATAGCGGTCAAAGGCCATGGCCAGCAGCACTGTGGATTCCATGCCAGACAAGGAGTGAATGGCAAACATCTGTAGCAGACAAGCATCAAACTGGATGGTAGTGGAATTGAACCAGAAGATGGCCAGCATTTTGGGCATGGATGAGGTGGAGATGAGGATGTCAATGCCTGAAAGCATGCAAAGAAATATATACATGGGCTCATGCAGGCTGTGCTCGGCCCGCACAACGTAGATGATTGTCAAGTTACCTAGCACAGCAATAAGGTAGAGGGAGCACAATGGGAAGGCCAACCAGAACTGAGCCTCTTCCAAACCAGGGAGGCCTATTAGGATGAAGTATGTGGCACTGGATTCATTGCCATTGGGACCCACCATCATGAAGAAGCTGAACTGTGACCAGCACCAGGCAGGTAGAGGCTGGAATGCAAACATAAGCCATTGTCAGATCCATAAGAATCCCAATACCACACCTCACTCTATCCTGACGTCCTGTTCTCTAACTCAAACTCTAATTCCATTTCTTATGCAAATTCTAATCATATTCTAAATGCAGTCTCACATAATCTAACATAATTCAAGAACCAGACACAAATTCATCCAGTCCTACTTACTAACCCCATCTGTATTGTTAATCCTGGCAGCAAGTGAAAGACTAAGACAAAAAATTTAAGCATATTCCAAATCATTTAGTTCTCCAAAGAAAGGCTACTGGCTGAATATAAAAGAACCTTAGGTGATAAAAATATCTAATCATTTCCTCTATCCCAGCTTACTTTTATGCTTCCCTATGCTTAATACTAACTGCAATTCTCAGTATATCATTAGACTATCTTTAAGAAAAAATTCCAGTCCAAGTGTAACAACACTAATAGTAACAGGTTAATATTGAAACCTAATCCCATCATAAATCTAATGATCTCCCCAAGTCTAGACTTAACCCTATTTGACCTTTTAATAACCATTTCAATCTTAAAGATTGAATTGATGATATTCAACTCACAATTCATATTCTATTTTATTATGATAAACAGTAATCCAATAAAAAACTGACACTAAATTAACCCTGAACTCTAACTCTACATTACCTTCTTGTCCAAATGACCACCCAAAGTTTTACACTTGTCCAGACTACTCAGTTTATTTCAAAAAAAGAATGATGGCTATAGTGGATATCATTGGTGCCCCAGCCAGATCCCATTCACAAAGCCAGTGCAACCATCTCCCATCTACAATGAGCACTGAGTGCTAAGGGCTCACAGCTCCCCTTCTTTCCAGAGGATTGTCCTTGGTCAAATGGGAGGCACCTCACCCAGGAGGTTACACTGTGCCCCCATGATGCACATCTAGAGGCCATTGGCTACCTGACATAAGGAGTACCAAAGGCCAGCCCCATTGCCTCTGGGTGCAGCAAACACTTTGATGCAATTTGTACTTCAGAGCTTCCCAAGGAACCAGCCAGAGGCTTGTCTCCAGTTGAGATGACAGTCCTGCTTAGCTTTCTTCCCCTGCCCTACCAGGATTCCCTCCTTCTTCTTCTCATGGCAATGTACTCCCTCAATATGTCATTTGGACAAGAACCCCCACCTCAGGTTCTGCTTCTAGAAGACCCACCCAGTCCAAGAGAGTGAGAGTGATACAACTAGAATACAAACCCTGAGGGGTGATGGCATTAGAAGCACTGGAGGCATAATCAATCCTATAGCAGAATTCAGTCTGCAAACGAACTGAAACTGACTATAAAAATGATTTGATATTACTGCGGTGGGAAATGTGAGACTTGGGTCATCTCAGATTGTATGTCTCTGTTAAGAGTGAATTGATTCCCTCCCTCCCTCCCTTTCTTTCCTGCATCTACAAATATCCATGTGCTCCAACTCTACAGTAGCCCTTATCTGAAATGCTTGAAACCAGAAGTGTTTCTGATTTGGGATTTTTTTTCTTTTTATTTTGGAATATTTGCATTATACATACCCAGATCAGCATCCCTAATGCAAAAATTGGAAATTTGAAATGCTACAGTGAGCATTCTCTTTGAGCATCATGTTGGTGCTCAAAAAGTTTCAGATTTTGGAGCATTTCAGATTTTGGATGTTTGGATTAGTGATATTCAACCTGTATTTATTAGATCATGTATATTGTAGTTTTTAAATTGATTTGGCCCTTGAAAGTTTGAGAGCTAGGGTAGGGTTTTCTGCATGGGTTACCAGAAAGCAGCTGAGTATAAGTCAGAGTTCATGGCCAGCATCAGGAGAGGTTCCGTGGGCTCAGGCTGTGTCACGAATCTTTGTACCAGCATCAAGCGGTCACCCAGAGGTTTCCTCAGACCAGACAGAAATTAGTGGGAAAACAATGGGAGCATGAATAGTAGAATAGAGGGTGAGAGAGTTTAATTCAATCTGCTGGGAAGGGAAGGTTTAAGGCAGACAAACCATATTTAACCTAGAACTTCAGGCAAAGAGGTCAAAGTCATCAACGTCCCTTCTCACTACTGCAGCTTCTCTGCAGCATGTGGCACCGGGAGCAGTTCCCTCCTTCTTAGAGATTCTCCCCCTCCTTCTTGCTGCTCCTCGGCTCTCTCTAATCACTAACTATTGGTTTCCTTTCTGGATCTTCACTCTCCTCTCCAAAATTGTATCTTCAGTGCTCTTCTTGTTCTATACTCTCTTCCTGGGCCATCTCATCCCCTTCAGTAAATCCATTTTTTTTGTACAAACAATTGATCCCCAAACCTCTTTAATGAATTCTGAATTCTCTTTGGTAATCCAGGTTCATAATTCTGAAGACTTACTAAAAGGGTTCACCTGATCGTCTTTCAAGCACATCAAACTCTCCATGTTCAAAAAAAACAAACTCTCTCAGAGGCAGTATTATATAGCCATTGAGACTATGAGCTTTGAAATCAATCTTGCATTCTAAAACTAGTCGAAAACCTCTAGAGCTGTGTGATCTGGGGTAAATCATTTAACCTTTCTAAGCCTCAGCATCCTCATCATTAAAATGATTATAAGAGTCCCTGCCTAATAGGGGGTCAATGTGAACATTAAATCAGATGATAAATGTAAAGCACTTAACACAATACCTCACACATAGTAAGTATGCAAAAAATAATATTTGTTGCTGTTAACCATTTTCCTCCAGTGTTTCTTTTTTTCTGTTATGGGGGCCTGAACCATCATACAAACCAGGTTCTCTGATCCTGACTGCTACACCTCTAGGGTAACTTTCCTCATCCACCAAATCCCAACAATCTAACCAGATGAAACCAGTTCACTCCCTATTATTTTTTAAAATATCCTTGAAACTCCAAGTTGATTCTAGAATAAAGACTAAACTTCTTATGACATGGCTAAAGGTCTGTCTTTCATCACCCAGTCCTGGGTTCCTCCCTCACCATGATCCCTATGATCCAGCCACACTGGAGTTCATGCTATTTCACAAACATAGGGCCTTGATTCCCATGACTCTGTGTCTTTCTGTCTTTTTTACTTCTCATCCCTTTGTCAAGAAACACTGTTCCTCACAGATCTTCTCCCTGACTTCCCGCACTCATTTTTCACATCCTGGCTTACTGTCTCTCTCCTATACTACTTTTCCTAAGCCTCTTTTACCTAGGCATAATTAAATGTTTACTGTTCTGTGCTCAAAAAGAACATTATTTAGGTCTTTTTAAATATATACATGGGCCCTTGATTTACCTTCTTCATAATAGTAACTATAATTATTGCTATATTTTCCCCTGAATTATGAGCTCCTGAACACCAGGAACCTTATTATATTTATTAATTGTTTAGTTAATGTTTGTGGAAGATGAAAATGAGTTTTATCAACAGGAGAGTCTCTTAGTATACATCTAGTGAGGGTAACACAGCCAAGGGCATAGATAAGACTGCCTGTTATCTGTACTAGAGAGACTTTTGAGAAGGATGAGATAATGTTTGGAAGGTCAGTGCAGAGTAATTTTAATTTTATAAAAATAATCTTTAGGGTCAAACAGAAAAGTCCTTTCTTACCCAAGGAGCCAGATGGCCAGAGAAAAATATATATATTTTTTTTTATAATATATAATATAATAAATGTTTTACATATATATGTATGTGTATACACACACACACACACGAGCAGCTGCAAGGTCCTGGTCCTAATAAATGCAAAGTGGACATGCAGCACAATTTGTCCTAAGAGCAGGATAGACCTAAGATCCCTCACCTGGAGACACTGGCAAGAAGGCTCTGGTACTCCAGAGGGTCAGATATCAATACCATCCATCAGTTTCACATCAACAGACATGGCAGAGCAGGTTGATACTCAGGATTTTTAAAACGTGCTGTCTTAGAAAACACACTGGGAAAGCATTCTGGCTGGGCATATGCAACAATATTGCCTCTGAAGGTAGAGTGATGTGGTGAGCACAATCCTGGGGCTTAGAACACAAGTCTTGGCGCTAAATGTAGTGAATAATAATAACTGCACAGTGCTGCCATGAAATTGTATGAGATAAGGCATGTCTAAAGGAATTGTAAAAACTAAATCGGAGTACATGTAGTGCATTGTTTTCCACAAAAATGAGTAACAAGGTCTCTGAAAATGTATGAAATTTCATATACTTTTTAATTCCCCAAATTTGTCCCTTAATCACCACTCAGCCTCTATGTACACACTCATACACACATATATTTACTAGCAGTCAATTTCTCACAATAGCAAGACTGGGCACTGATATAAAGATACCAGAAACCAAAAAAAGGAAGATTCAGCTGTCCTGGGAGGGAGGTGCCTAGGCAGTATAAAATGGGCAGCTATCGCCGAGGCTGAAATATCAGGCTGGACCCCAGAAGACTACAGCAGGAGAGAAATGAAGCGATGGAGAAGGAGCCAGCCAGAGAGCTCAAGTGCCACCCTTCAGACTGACAAGCCCTGAAGCGTCCCAATGTTCAACAGTCCCTCCATGAGACAGGCAGAGGGACCAGATGACTTCCAGATGGCCTTCCAGCTTGAGCAGCTGTTAGTAATTAAAACTCAGTGAGATGGTTTTGAGCTCTGGAGGAAGTTGGAACTAAATTATTTTGAAAGTAAGGCACAATCAAGAAAAAATAAACTAACAAAGCACTTTTTTTTTTTTTTAAGAAAGCCCACACACTGCTCTAATCCCCAAGGAAATAGCCCTGTGCTGAGATTTTCTGTGAATAAGTTGAACTATTTTAGCAAGTTCCAGGAATGTTTCTTGGGGAACTATGAAGGACATCTCAGCCTTTTCTCAGGAATAGGGGAACAGGAGCTCCCAGCTATAAAGACTGGAAATCCACATGGAGGCCTTCAGTCCTCTTCCTTCCTTCCCCCCGGGCTTCAGAACTCTGTCTCCTAATGCCAGCCCAGCCCCCCTCACCAGCCCATCCTCACATTTTTCCCTAGAACTCCTTCTCATAGACCCACGAAAAAGCAGTCAGAGTGGTAGACCAGACAGCAGGACAGAAATGAAGGGATGGAGAGGGAGCCAGCCAGAGAGCCCAAGTGCCACCCTTCAGACTGGCCAGCCCTGAAGCGTCCCAATGTTCCACAGTCCCTCCACGAGACAGGCAGAGGGACCAGCTGACTTCCAGATGGCCTTCCAGCTTGAGCAGCTGTTAGTAGTCAGAACTCAGTGAGATGGTTTTCCAGAGGGGCACCATTAGCCTATTAGCCCTATCTCTTCTGACCCAAGAGAACAATGAGGTCACCTTTAAACCTGATTTTTTTGTTTTTATAATATGAACATGGATTATTGAGCACCTACAAAATGACAGATATTATACAGTGTCATCTATATAAATATTATCTCTAAGCTTGGGACAGCTCTGCAGAAGGTGAGGGTATTTAATTCAATCTGCTAGGAAGGGAAAGTTTAAGGCAGAGAAACTATAATTAACCTAGAACTTCAGGCAAAGGGCCAAGTCATCAACATCCCTTCTCGCTGCACCATGGATCCTCTCTGTATTATGGGTGAGTACTGTGGATCCTTTCTATATTATGGGTGAGAAAACTGAGGCTCCAAGACATTATATAACATAACCAAAGTTTAACAGGTGACTGGCAATGCAGAAACTTAACGTAGATAGTCTCATACCAAGGCCTATCCACTTTCCCTCATTCTAGGCTGCCTTTAATTTTGCTACACCTTCTGAAAGCTAATAAAATCCACCCAAAGGGCGAGATATAAGAAGGGCTTGGTAAGTAGCACAGCTGCCCTGGGTATACTCTTAGAAGGGAAACCAAGAGGGCTGCAAAGAGGACTCTTCTGCACTGGAACTTGGGGCACTCACCTCCTCTTTCAGTCCTAACTCCAAAGGCTGTGACATGGGTAGGCCCCACAATGGAGATTAAAAGGCTTGTCCTCTACCAAGTATTTCCTTGTTGTCTAATTAGAGCCTCTCATCAACCTGTCAAGCAGATATCATTAATCCCATTTGACAGATAAGGATGTTGAGGGTTAGTTGGAGCCCTTAGTGCTAAATCCATTGCTTTACAATATGCCAAGTGCTGCCCTACCTCTCTCCATGTCTCCTTAAGAAGGGACTTTGCTTTGTAAGCACTATTTCAATATTAATCTCCCAGGAATCCAACACTGAGGACCCATGAGTTCAGGGGCCCCTCTTGGACTCAGGACACATGACCAGCTCTCCCCACTAAGGTTCAGTGTGGAAGGAGAACAAGGAGGAGATTCATTGTCACTGTCATTATCTGAGCTAAACACACAGAATGTTTCATGCCCAGAGCAATGGAGTGGGGGCCTCTGGTGCTGCTGTCTGCCTCTGGGAATATTTAGAAAAGAATGTCCTTGGAGAGAAGCCCAGACATACCTGGGAGCCTCTGGCTCCTATTCCCAGGCACAGAGAGGGAAGGCAGACCTCAGGGGCAATGCTGTGGCTGGCAAGGACTGGAGGAGCTTGTCAATTGATACTTAAATAGAGTCCCTTCCCTAACATTTTGGAAGGTAGTAGCCCCAAAATTACTTCCACTCAAATTATCTGCATCCACTGCGCCCCACACCTTGCTTGTATTTAATAAAGCAGATGAACTCTTGCAAGGTGTTGGCTACTCTTCTTAAAATGGCCAAGATGAAAATGGAAAGATGAGAGAGAGCAATTTCTAAGTCCCAGAAAGCAAAGTGAGCCCTTACCCCACCCTGCTCACTCAAGTCAGCCTGACCACCTAAAATCACATCTAGGCAGAGTTCCTAGGGTTCAGGTCTCTGCTCCTCCACTTCCTGAGTAGGACCACATAAGTGTTCTAAAGATCTACAAAGCTGCGCCTAGTTGCCAGTTCCCTTTAGAGCTACTCTGGCTGCAAGCAAATGTAAGGCAAGGGAAATGCCCAAAGTGGGATTTTGATCAGTGCACTCATTTTTTCAACAATCACTGACAGACTTCTGTGCCAGACTCCGCTGAGTACTAGAGATATAGTTCCAGCCTTCCAAGGGTGGGGAGAAATTGAGACAAATATGCAGCCATCACAGCACATTATAAATTCTGGGAAAAGAGTAAGCAAAAGGGCCTCAGAAGCAAAGACAACAATAGCTCAGCGAGCTTTTTAGCCTCCTAGGGCTTCCCTGAGGAGGTGACATCTGATCCATGACTGCAGGACCTGCTGCAGGCAGGTAATGGGGCAACAGCACAGGCAGTTAATGGGGTGGGGGCACAGCAGCATTCAGTTAGACAACAAAAACATATTGAATGTCAAAAACTGGAGAGAAACAATAGATAAATCAGACGATGATGGCTTTTATGGAGCTCATATAACAAGAGGCCAATAATGAGAAGTAAACAAATAAAATTTCAGATGAAGATAAGGGCACGAAAGACAAGACAGACTGATAGGACAGAGAAAGATGGGTGCAGGACACTTATACTGGAGACAGGGGTCAGAAAAAACCTCTCTTAAGGATGTGACATGTGATGAGAAAACACCAGCCATTCTAAGATCCAGGGAAAGTGCATTCCAACCAGGGGAGACAGCAAGAGAAAAGGGTCCCCCAGTAAGAATGATATTGGGGAATTCATGGAACGAAAAGAAGGTCAAGGTGGCCAGAGCATCAAGAGCACAAGAGAGTTTGAGAAGGTGAGGTGAGAGGAGGGCAAGGACCTCATCAGGTAACAGGGTCTTGCAGGATATGGCAAGGAGCTTTGGTTTAATTCTGAGTGACGGGGGGAATTTCAGCAACAGACTTGATCTAGTTTGTTTTTAAAAGTACATCCTGGCTAATACAAAGAGCCAGAGAGAAAGAGAACAGATCTTGTTTGGAAAGCTGAAAGTGACTTAGTGTAGCTGGGGTAAAGAGTACAAGGCAAGGGGTGCTGCCGTGTGGACACTAATCTACTTTTTAAATGGGCTGAAGACTGAATCCTGATCCTAGACACAGACCAAGATGAGATCGGAGCCCCAGGAAGATTACTAAGTCCCAGTCTCAGCCAGAGCCTGACTCCTGATACACAGAATAGAATAAGCCCAGCCTCACTCAGAGCCCCACCTCCACCCCAGTTGCAGCCTGATCCCCAGTCATAGACTGAGCTTCAACCACATTCACCCTGTTCACACACCAAACCCCAACCCAACCCCAATGCAGCCCCAGTCCAACCCCAGCCCAGCCTGTCCTCTGTCCTCATTCACATCAGTCCCTGCCAGCCTCTAGATGGGCATACTAGTAAACTAATTGCTGAAAAACTGTTTGAAAACTACCCTTAGGCTACCTCCAACACCCACATGCTTCTGTTCATCGC